GAAAACCCATATCTGAAAAGATATTTGCACACCAATGTTCATAGCAGCACTATTCACAGTGGCAAGGACGTGGAAGCAACCAAACTGTCCTACGATAGATGATTGGCTAAAGAAACTGTAGCGCATATACCCAATGGAATATTGCTCATTCATAAGAAGAGATGAAATACTGCCATTTGTGAAAACATGGATGGACCTCAAGATAATCATGCTAAGCGAAATCAGCCAGACTAAAAAAGTTGAAAATCACATGATATCATTTATATGTGGGATATAAACCTAAAAGCAACAAATGAACAGGACAAACAGAGACTCATGGACCTGGACTATAGACTAGTGGCTATCAGAGGGTAGGAGATGGGGGAGGAGGGTATAGGTAGACAGTTAAAGGGGTTAAATATAGGGGGGGAGGGGAGGGTAAAGTGGGTAAAGGGGATCAAATATATGTAGCTGAAGGAAACTGGACTTTGGGTGGTAAACACATTATATAATATACAGATGTCAAATTATAATGTACACCTGAAAATTATATAATTGTATTAACCAATGTTACCCCAATAAACTTCATTAAAAAAATGGGAAAAAATTGAATTTTACATAGTTCTACAATACAGCGATATTTATACCTATAAATTCTAATTAAGTGTCTCTAATCTTAATCCTCAACGTGGCATTTATGTTGTTGAATTATATTTAAACAAATTCATCCTATTTTTGTGATGATCATATAGTTAAGAATGGCATTTAGCATGCTGAGATGCTAATGTGATTTTGCCCACGTATAAGTTGGTACTAACTATATTTCTCAGAAAACTAAATGTTGCAGGAGCTGTATAACATTTAAACATTATTACACTGAGAATTTAAACAAATAATGAAATTTAACTATTGTTTAAAAAGAACTTACCTTTGCAATGATTACTGACTGAACTGGGTAACAAACAGCTGCTCCTAAAGTGGCCAGTCCCAGTGGATAAGCAATTTTCTTAAGTCTAGAACCTATAAAATTCAAACAATTAAACTCTTAACAGATGCTACCAGAAACTGGATGCTTTTATAATTTTAATACTCTCTTTGTTCCCCTTTAAGCCTTCACCTTATGCTAAATTACTCTTCAGATAATAATACCAATCAAGATGGTAGCTAAAATGTCCTTAAGGGTCACAATACAATTAATACCCCTCACTTGTAACATCCAATTTAAGTATTCTCAATCTAATATGATAATTACCTATACTAAGGGGGTTGATGATTTCTTCTTTTTTAAAACTAGGCATTTTTTCATGTCCTAAACCATGTTAAACTGAAATGGACTTTCTTTATATATTCTTTTTTGATTAAGTGTTTAGGAAGATAAAAGATCCAACTGAGGTATCAGCTAAAGACTTAAAAGGTACTCACTCTTTCATGTCATTGATTTAGAATACTGAAATAATTTAATAATTTCAAGTAACGTGAGTTAATTCGCTTTTAAAAGTGTCTTAACTAAGCACGAAGGGTCATTTTCAAACTTTTTTTGACAACGAAATCCTTTTCAGAAAAATATTACAAATAGAATCTCACTAGGAATTTCATATAAAACCTATAAATCTGAAGCTACTCTGGTTAGCTTGCGGGAAGGAAGCCCAGTATTGAGCCCTGCGTGCATGGCTTTTCTCTTTTCCCCATACCCCCCTAAATGATTTAATGGAATCCTAGGTTGTGCAGAATAGTTTGAAACTCACCACTCTAAACCATAGCCTAGTTCCAACAGACCGTTGGTTCAAAACCATATGTATTTTAAAGGCTTGTCTGGGTACCTAGACTCTGTAAATATGATTTGGGCAAGTAGATGATGGAATTTCTAATTGGGATAAGTACTTTTATTCTCTGGAACAGCTCATATAATCCTTAAATATGAAACAGCCTATCTTATATATCAATAAAGATTAATGTGAAAAAACCTGGCAATGTTTGCAGGCAACTTTACAATTTAGGAAAGGTTAAAAAAAAGAGAGAGAGAGAAATTTCTCTGTCTGGTTTAATTTATTGGTGAAGAGGCCTTCTACAGTCTCGTCTACAATAGACTGCACTTGTGTGAGGTGGTAGGTACGCTGCTTCAATCTCTAGTTTAGCTTTGCTTTAGATAGAGACTAGATTTTGTGGTACTGGTAAAGAGGGTATAGGTATATTAAAACATGCCCTAGGTTGCTCCTTTACTCTAGTCCTGATCACCATTACTTTAGTATCTATAGTTTGGCTCTTGACTGCACTGACATGAAATCTCTTAACAAAGGTTTCCTTGACTCAGTCAAATTGCTGCTCCTAAACTGGGAAGGTGCCAGTTTTTCCTTGATGTATCATTTTAAATATTAAAAAGACTTATATTCACCCTCCCTTACTTGATATGAAAGATCAATTTACAGTAAATTATATTTCATTTGGGTTCAATAATCCTAATCTAATAACCAGGAAAGAGCTCTAGATACAGTCACGTTTACTATGTACTTTATACTATATTTACTATATACTATATTACTGAGTGATTTCCTTTCTCTGGACCTCTATCTGTAGCATAACAGGGTTAGAGTAAGCCAAAAGCTTTCAAACTTTTCTGACTATGATTCATATTAAAGAACAAAATTTACATTGAGCTATGACCTATCACACACACTCACCCTCCCTCCCTCCTACTGTCCCTCTCCCCATTGAAATGTTTCATGATATTTATCCATACTGAATACAAAACAGTATATTTGCTATTCTCTATTTTATTTTTAATAAAATGCTTCCTGAGATCTAGTATGTTTATTTCACTATCTACTAATAGGTTAAGATCCTCAGTTTGAAAAACACTGGGCGATATTATTCTAGCTCTGACATTTGGAGATACTGGGAATGACCTAAAGAACATTTTCTCTTACAAGAGGATTATGAGTTTCTCACTGAGAATTAAGTAATATGTTTTGGCCAATTTCCTTCAAAATTCTTTGAAGTCTTATTGTTACATATGGTAATCTTAGTTTTCAATTTTTTTCCTAATAAAAAATTTATAATGTATAAGTTGTTCATGGTGTTAGAAAAAAAAATGGGATATAAGGAGCCATTAATGTTAGCTATAGGAAGTGTAAGGTCTACTGGGATGAGATATATATGCTAGACTTAGAATATTGGAATGTTCGTATAATTTACAGAGGTTTTGTATCTAATTAGGTGTACTAGAGTTGAAGTTACTTTAAGGACTGGGCAAACCAATCATAAAGTTATCTGATATCAGATTCCAGACTGGTTCAGAGCTGTGACATCCAACCACATGCAACTTAGTTTGGGAACAATGACTAGCAACTGAGTTGTGGAATGTAACCAAAATGGCTACTTATAAGAAAACTGTATCAGCTTAGTAAGGGCTTGGCTGAGGAGGGGAGACAATAATGCCTGCTGAAATAATAACTGAATAATTGCAGGTAAAGTGAGATAATTCCTTTCTAAAAGTGTCTTAACTAAGCATCAAAGGTTTCCATAACCAGGGGTGGAAGATGGGCAAATATACAATTCATTACATGCTTATAAAAGAGAGTTATTTAATGGTGTGCAGAAAGAGTTAAACATAGTATGCCCGAGACTGCCATTGGTAGAAAGGCCTGCTTGCAAAGCTGGCCCTTAGCTATTTGAGAACTTGTGGTAAGCAG